CGGCGCCGGCCCCTGGCAGCCGTGCAGCTCCCCCAGCCCTTCCTTTTGGAAAACGTATTGTTTTTGAGACGCATACAAAATATAAACCTCGCATTTTCAAAGCCTAGTGCAACGCTGTGAATAGAAACATAGAGGGAGCAGAACATTTTCTTAAACATGACATCCTCAGCAAAACAAACCAATTTATCACAACATCAGCTCCAAAACCGAGCTGCGAGCGAATGTGAAGTGACGCTATCAGAGTATAATGGTCCTGAAAAAGCAAAAATTGCAGTAAGAGACTTTCCATAACCATTATCATTCTATAATCTTACCTTCTCTCTAATCAAATTTTCTCACAGAGAAAACTAATGCTCGAGGTACGATGTAAAATGGGATGTGCATGCATGTCACCTTGTCAAAGCAAATGCTGCCGTTGTTGCAGTCGCCCATGGCGCCAAGAATGGGCTTTGCCCCTTGGTGCAGGCAGAAGTGACACCTCAAAGGTACCCCCCCACCCCCGGAGAGGATTTTCATGGCTGCTGAGAATGAACTACACAATATGAAACAGAATAATAAAAAACAAATATTTAGTTTTAAAGCTCATTTTATTATAATTTGGTAAGTGTGGCTCCCTGTGGACCCAGGCGGTAAAACAAGCTGAACACTTCCCTTCCCCCCAGTTTGGTTTGGCATCGTCTTTGGATTAAAAACAGATAGAGACACATCATTAGAAAGACTGTTTTTCCTAACGGTAATTTTTTTCAAGGCATTGTAGGCCTAATTTAAGAAAACCAAAATTGTTTAAAAATACTGCAAAAAAAGGAATTTCTAAGTTGATGAAATGATTATAATTTATCAGCAGCCATTCAAAAGGCGTGCTGAAGTAAAATTTTGAAGAAGTTACAAAATATATACACAATGTATCACTTTAAGATGCCTTTGGCATTCAAAAAAGTTAACCGTAATACAGAATCTAAAACTCAAAACTATTGTAGGTAGCTCTTCTACCACAATTTTTACAATGGCTAAGAAGCTAGCTGTTCTGACTATATGCACCATATACAATGTTCTGTTGCATATACCACTTCCACAACAGCACACAAAAATATTTTAAACAAGAAATCCACATAAATAATGTTTTGGTTGTAATGAAGTATGTGACCAACAATTTATAGTAAGTACCTTTACAACAGAAACGTATCTCAATGTAACCGGCACATACAGTCTGAAAGACAAAAAGTGACTCCAATAATCTCTGCTGAGGCCACGAGCACCTTGTGTGATGAGGAGCACCAAGGCAACACGACAGGAAACACGTAAGAGGTAGTGTACCATCTGTTAAGATGTGTGTGTCCATCCAGGACTATAATACAACTTTGTGTTTAAGAAAAGAAGACTTTTTGTACTGTGGCATAATTCACTTTTCAAACACAAGCTATTGCACATTTAGGAGCACTAGTCAGTATTGCTGCTCAGGATGGTGTGTCTCCAGCTTTCCTCGGGATGCTTCGTGCAGCGCTGTTAAGGAGGTTACCAGAACACTAGAGGTCCCGATGAATTCCATGTTCAGATATATAATTCTCAGTTCCAGGAAATTATACAAGAAAGCACCAACCAATATTTAAAAAAAAAAATTACATACTTTGTCAAAGTTGTTGTAGTCTCTTCTTTCTTTTTATTTCTAAATGCCATTTCTCCTTAGGAAGAAGTCTTTTCTTCCTGAGGTTCTTTACCCAACTCTGTTTGAAATGATTCTTCAGCTTCAGGGCAGTAATCGTGCCTGCAATGGATTGTGACCTTTGCATTCAATCTAGGCAACAACTCCATGGTGATGTTAAAAAAAAAAAAACAGGACAGAAACCTTAAAGGAAGCACACTAAACCACTTTCTACAAAGTGCTGTTGTCCTGGTTTGAGATGAGAAAGCACGTGAACCTGAACAACCGGAAGCTGATTAGTGTCCTGAGTGTGAAAAAAGAACTGCGTCTTATGCCAGCTGCCGTCTTGAATCTGCAACACACACAAGCAGAATATTAAATTGGTATCAAAGATGAGCTTCAAAACACAAGCAGAAACTGGGCTTAAGGAGTCAGAGGAGGAGTGCACAGAAACGTTTCTTCTCCCACCAGGTCGTGAACCAGTTTCACCAATGCCTTTTCTCCTGTGCGATAAGGCAGGCGCTCTGCCAAAACAGCAGCTTCCCAGCGCGCTCCAGAGCAGGGCTGGCGCGGGTGCAGGTGCCGGGCGGGACGGCCCAGGGAGCGAGGTCTGCCCCTGGGCAGGCACTGCCGCGTCCACACGGCCTCTTAGCTCGCTCGCGAAATTCACTTCTGAATTTAACAACAGGGCTACAGTCACAAACTCTGTAAGCACGTGAACGGCTTCGGCAGGCCCTTGAGAAATAATCATAGGGGATGAGAGCTATATTTTTGACATGAACTTTGTATTGATTATTCTGCTCCTTAAAAAAAAAAACAACACTCAGTAAAAAATTGTTACCTTATTAAAAAAATATGAAACAACATTATAATACTGTCTGAGGCTGGGAGTGCCTTGATGTTTGCAGTAACTCCTTTCTTAACCAGCTATCACATACAGTGGAGACCACTGAAAAGTGAAATCCCCGCAGGGAGGAATGTGTGAGATTCTGCAGGAAATCTGTACAGTACACAACTTCCTGCAGAAAGAGAGAAAGATCTCATAGAATGTCACAGAAAAATGGCATTTTTCAATAGCCATCACTATATGTCTTATTTTTCCTCAGGGACAACACAAGCCCCGAATAAAGGTGGGGAGAAGAGGCTTCAGTGGCCATACCTTAGCTGCATGACAGCCGCAGAGCATCTCCTTAGTGTGTAGTAATAAGGGATGGCAGCATAACAGCTTCTGAGTGCCTCAGCAAATCCACTTTCTATCTTAAGATTAAAAATCTCACCTGGCACGTTTGTATCCCGATATGGGATCAGACTGTACTCTCTCACACCTTCTGTCACTGTAAATGACAGCAGAGCTATAAAATACTTTAAGCATAGGTGCTTGGCTGTTATTTTTGGTAGTGTTTTACCAAAATGTTTACCAAATGTCTCATTTCTTGATTATGATTATTAGTAACCTAACAACTGTTAGAAAGGTAATCAGCTCTTCCAATTTTTACTAAATCCAAAATATGACTTAATATTTTAATTAGCCAAAGAGTCAGTTTCTAACCATTATTCTTTTATTGAATAACCAAACAATTGATTGACAGTCAATGAATTTACTGATATTTAGTTGTCAAAAAACTGAATTCCAGCCTGTCTAAACCTAAGATTTTGTGCTGGATAACCTCAGCAGAACTCCTACAGAAGACTGAATTTTCATTCTGAGAGAAAGTGTTGCTCAAGTTTCCTGGAGGGCCAATTTAGATCTGTGCTAAGCTCTCTCCAGTACCTTCGCAGAATCTGGAACTGCATGGAATTCATTGCTACCAGCAAGTACAGATACCCTGTATTACTGCAACTGCTTTTGCATTTGGGTAGATGTTGAATTTTATATCAAAGGGCTGGCATATAGAGACATATGCCGAACAACATAGGTAGTAAGCCTCAAAACAAGAAAATCTAAACGACCATTACAATACTAGGGAAAATTATATATTCTCAAAGCTTATGTATTTGCAGAATGTTAATAATGTCTAAGCATTGACTCCATTATGCGTTTAATAATGCTGAAAAGTATTTACCATGCATTTGTCCGTAAGCACCTTCGGTTCAAGTAGCGTATTTGCTTTAAACGTTTGACCATTCCATCCCTTGAAGCTAATAGATGTTTTCTGGTCACCCGCCTCATTTAATCCCCATATTGGCATGTTCAGACAGTGAATTGTGATGCTGTGGGTTGCTTCTGAGCTCAGTAAATGAAGGAAGTTCATCTGCACTTTTCCAACACCAAACTCCAGCTAAGCTCCAAAAGAAAGGCATCATTAGACTTACAGCTGGACTGTGCTGACTGGCCACAGCAACATGAAGGGACATGCAGATATATGTGCAGTGTTTAGGCATGGGAGCATGTATGCATGTTTATACATGGGGATTAATGCCAAAGAGTATGATTTGTTTCCTTTAGGAGACCTGTTAAGTTCTATAGTAGGAATACTACAAACACAGAAACTGTCATAGGACATTTTCAAAGCTGAAACATAAACATTTGCTAATGCTCACAAACTTGCTGCAACACAGCAGGGCAGATACCATTATTTTGCAAATAAGGAAACTGAAACAAATGATTATGTTATTCAAACAAAGATCATCTCAGCAGCAGCATTTTATCTGCGTTCCCAACATTCTGCTGATTAGTCTTGTTCTTAGACCGCTGTATGGTTCTGCCTGTCAACACCCAGATCCCATCAATATCCTCAAATGTTGTAAGCATCCTTTAGACAGAAAATTTACTCACATAAGAAGAATTTCTGCAAGATTAAATCACACTTAGGCATCTTTCAAATTTAAGAATGTGTGTGGGAGCTTTATGTTATGACTAATGCTCTTCAATGGATAAAGCATATAAGTAAAACTCCATAAAAATAAAGTTTCTATTCTCAAGGGTTTAAGGAGTATATCTAACGAGTGGCATGGAAATAGTGATATAAAGGAAAGTACTCTCCATCTAACAAGGCATTTATCGGTAGCAGAGTGTTGAAAATGATTTTTTTTTACTTCCCACTGCAATCTCAGCACTCCTATACTCAGCTGCCTCAAGTGATGAGTTAGTATTGGAGCTTAGAAGCATTTCTGGCTTGTTTTTAATATCTTGTACAGAAAAGTATAAAGTAAAGCAAAAGAAGAGCTCCAACAGCATGGAAGATAAGTGAACAAAGTCAATGTTCAAAGTCAAAACCAATATATGTTGTCTCCGCTATTCTCTAATCTCCATTACAGAATATATACCAACATGCCATCCCACAGAGATACACACAAAAGAGACAAAGAGAATTCTAACATTTTACTATAAGGTAAATAAACACGCATTTATTTGTTCAGAGTTTTGGCACAGATGCAGTCTGGTAAGAAGCAATGTATACCTTTGTCACAGACTTTGGTGATAAACATGTTTGACCACCGGCAGTGAAGTTGCAGTAAACTTCAATGGCATCAGAAGGACATCCAATATTTGGGTCAATCCAGTATTTTCCTATGAGTATGCAATCCCAAATAGAGAATAAAACCAAAATACAGTTTGTTACAAAATTTTGCCAAAAAGTATAAAGATTTTAGCAGTGTTGGATATGTTCTTACTACTGCTTCACTGGGAATGGAAGAAAGGAAACAAGAAAGTCTTTCCACTATTGCAATGGAATAAGAGATATTCAACAAAATTTCCACAACCATTCAGTATTGACTACATATGCAGTGACTTCTGAACACTGACTTTTTCAGATAAGTCCTCTCTTTCTACAGCTAAATAGTGAGTGAGGACAAAAGGCATTTCTGCTGTCTCTATATTGAAACTTATTTTGGTTTGGCTTTGTACAGAGCATATATTCCTGAATGTAAAATTTGATTCTAAATCCTGCGGCTCTCACAGTATCTTGAAGATCCTTTCCTTCTCTTCTTTCTCCTGTCTGTAAGATACTTCTACTTCCCACATTCTTATGATGTGAATAAGGAGTATTTGCCCTTGTGAAACAGTGAATTTGGTCCACAAGAAGAAATAGGACAAATAAGGCATATCTAAATTATAGCAGAATTTAGCTCCCTTTAATTCATGGTTAAATGTAGGTGAGCCTCTGCTCTGCAGTCTATATGGATGTGTGTAATCCTCTGTGAAGTGGAGACAGGGTCAGTGACCTCTGTCCCTAAAGGACTGAGATCCATTCAGGAGTACCAGTTTTAATGAGGGTTAGATTCATCTTTGTTATAGTCTAGAATAACTGATTAGTCCTGACGCATGCCAAGGAACAGCCATTTATTTCCTTGTAACGTCTAACTTCATTTCCTATTTTCCCATTAGCTTGTTACTATTAACAATTGATAATAAGGATATTTACATATATTTATTGTATTATTAAACACTCAGAGGGGGATTATGTCACAGTATTTACATGAAACATTTTAACAATCATTTGAAATATTGATTCAGGATCTCCTTAGATACCAACAGCTATCAGTGTACCTGACAGTGACAGTGTATTATATACACTTTTCTCATGAGAAATCTAGAATCTGATCCACACAAAAGTCATGGCAGAATGGCTATAAATACTTGGGAAACTTATCACAAAATTGAATTCTGTTTCAAATTTTTTGGACAATTTGTTTACTGTATTTGAAAAAATGTCAAGCTTGAAACTACAACATACTGTGTTACGTATCTTTACATTATGAACAGTTTTGTTATATCTGTATATTGCACAGGATATTCTAAAACAGTGTCCAGAGGCATGATATACCCTACTCCTGTCCTGTGAAATAACGGGCACAATATATCTTCTTTGCAGTCAAAAGTGGCCTCACTGGCAGTAGGACCAAATTATTGCTGCCTGAAAATTGTACTAATTACAGATCTCAGGCTTTGAATCAGATCTTGGAAACAGACGTCTAAATCAATAAAAGTTCAGCTCACATTTGCATATATGTGAGTAACTTCATGTGTAAATGTAGCTCAAGAGGAATAATCACTTGTATAAAATTACTCAAATGTACAAGCACCTCCAGAATATATAAAACAGTAAAGTCAAAAAGCTTAATTTTGTCAAGCTGCAAAGTCCAAAGTACTTGCATGTGCAAAGACACTAACTACACTAACACATAATTCAGCTCCTAAGCATACTATATCCACACCAGTTAACTGAAAAATGTACGCATTTTAACCAGTTTGGGATGGAAAGACTCTTCTGTAGACAGAAAGGCAGTCAGTCGTGAATGGGATCTGAAGAACAGATGACTCAATTAGAGCAAATATTAGTTAAATGTTGCTTAAAATATTTAAACCACCAAAGTACCAATTACTTCAAACGTTTATTTTTGAGTAATAAACCTATGAGCCACCGTTAACAAACACTGGTAACAAAGCTACCTGTGCAGAAGAAACACCAACGAAGGTTAAAACAACGCAAGGGTTCTTAAAGCTGCTTAAAGCAGTTAGATGCCCAACTTCCACTTGCCTTGGGCTCTTTTGATATTTTCAAGTCAAATGTGTACAGAAAAGCTTTAAAATGATAAGGTTTTTAAGTTTTGAGAATATGGCACATTTAGTCATCCAGGCCACATATTTTTGGATGAGATCTTCTGATATGAGGAACACGTAAGCTGAACAGCATCTCAATGTCAAATGGAAAAGGCAGACTCCACAAACTGCTGTGTAATGTATCTCAGGCTTATTTTCACCACTGTGTACCAACAAACTTGAGCTAACCTACCCAAGCTTTTACACAAGTTCGAGATTGTCCTAAAGGCTCTACAAGGAATTAACATGGAAGGTTGTTAGTAGGTTGCTTGCTAGCCCTGAACAATCAAAGTTACTTTTTCACCAATCACAGAGAGCAGAAGCTACTTAAGACAAGAATATGTAGTCAAATCAAATTCAAACCGGGGTATGAATATTAGCTGGCTACGTAATTTCGCCTTTAAAATCCAGAGTTTGCATCTTAAATAAAGATAAAATAAAGACGGCTGCACACACTGCAACACAGTCTAAGAGAAAAACCTCCCTGTTAGAATTTTGAAGTAGAAAGTAACATTTTGTAACAAGATGCTTTAAAGCCTAGCTATATTCAAGCTTTTATGAAAGTGGACACTTACCATCTGACACTTTACGTTCACAGTTTAGCAAGTCCCTGCAGATGCGTGCCGGGTTGTCCCGCGTGCCGAGGGGGTTCTTGATGCTGTGCAGTAAATTGCTAAGGTAGTGCAGCGTTTTGAATATCTCTGTACTGTGATCTAGTAAAGTTACTTCAGTATTCTGGTATCTCTGCCAGGGCCATTAGCAAATGTGTTACCACAAAGAAATATCACAACAGCAGCGTATGCAGTAAAAATCAAATGGCCATTGAAGATCCAGACAGAAGCATTAAGTATTTACGATACATGCAATCAGCCATATAAAACAGGGTAAGAAGAATGTATCCCAATGAACAAATTAGTATATTTTATTAAAATTATCAGTGCAATGAAGTTACAGTCAGGTTAAGATCATGCAAATACATCATTAGGATATGTTGACATAGAAATGTGGATACAGAAAAAAAGAAAAAATGAAAAAAATTAGTGCATTTTTAAAGTATACTTAGCAGTCTCAGATTCTGAAGAGTGAAACCTATATTTCCCAATATGGTGTCAATATATTTGACTTCACACATGTAAGTAATTTTCTTGCAATCTGTAGGATCACACACTTACATAAAGTTAAGCACATGTGTCAGTATTTCTTGGATCAGGGCCTAAATAGCAGTATCATTATCTGCAGCTGAACAGATACAGTCCACTATCTGTGATAGCCAATAAACAAACTTCCACCACTGCTAAGCATGATAAAACGGCAGAAATGCTGCTGTTTTTTAACTTCATTTAAGTTGCATCCTATATATCTTATTATGTTTAATTATATTCTACAGTGATCACCTGCAATCTGTGATTAATTTTAAATAAAGTCTTTGTAAAGAAGCCCTGGTCTTTAAAAAACATTTTATAATGCATACTCTGTGTGCCAGCGTAAATACAGTGAAATACATTACCTCCATCTGCAGTGCAGCATTTGCCTGAATCAAGGCTTGAACAGCAGCATTGATGTCCACTTGTTTCTGGAAAAAAAAAAAAGAAAGGATGAAAAGATGTTTCAGAATATAAAAAGATAAGCAGAAATATTCTAAAATACATGTGTCACACTGACCACTGTTGTAGAAACATACAGATGATATGTTTATCATCTTGTTATTTTAGGGGAAAAAAAATCTGTGTAAACACTTACCTTTAAAATGGGATCCTCACTTCCATTTCCAAAGAACGCAAGCACACATACGGAAATAGCATATTACCTTTTTATTAACATCTCCCCCTCCACACAGAACATTTAATGATCATACTCCAGGAATCAGAAAAAAAGATATTATAATGATAGTAACAGACTAGCGCCCCAGCTTATTCCTCCCGTCCATTTAATTTCTGTAGTTGAGAAAACTGATCCAGGTCAGTGGGAAGACATATTATTCCTTTCCAGAGGAGGCACAATGAAGAACATGGCGATGTAGCTGTACAAATACAGCTTGGGCCATGTGCTGTTGTCTGACTTTTGTGGTTGGAAGGTCACAGGACTTTTGCCAGCTAAAAGCTCCGCTCCTGCAGAGAAGTCTTCATCTAGCGCCCAGACAGCAAAGCCGCAGCCCACTTGCCCAGTGGAAAAGGAAAAGTGTGTGAGAGTTTGACCAGAGGGTAAGTGAGCTCCAACTACCTGCAGCCGGCAGCTGGTCTGCGCGAGCTGCCAGCAGCTGCTGCAGAGCAGGGCAGCCTTCGTGCTGCACAAACACACACCAAGATTTGTCTATAACTAGCCCTCAGGAGGAAACCAGTTTCTCACTTATCTTCATTCTCTGCCCTGTTTGTCAGATGCGTATGCCATACAACAGCTTTAAGTTCATTTGTTAAAGAATTAATTCACCCATATGAACAACTAGGTCTTAGGGTTTGTTCTCATAGTACAAATATCATCACAGCTTTAGGATATGTCAAATATTGGGCCCATCCTACTAACTGGCACAATCTCTTAGAAGGGAACAGTCAAGTTAGATATATAGAGGGAGACCATCTGGGCCAGAAATACTGCAGAATCTTCTAGTGCTTTCTTTCAGATTGTTCTGAAGCAGAATTGCTCCAACAGAAAAACCTTTTACAGTGTGATGGCGCTAACCCATGTCAAAGGTTCATGAGCTTTGTCTGTTAAGGGCTCAAAAGCATCACAGAACAGAATCGTTGGTGTAAGACGAAAGATTCAAAAACTATATTACTGTAGTGACGGAAGTCATAGGAAAATGTATTTGCATTTCACCTGTGGTGACGGAACAGGCAATGCATTTGAAGAGGATCACGTTCAACAAAGAGGGCTGCATTGTAGTTAGCGCAGTTAGAGAACTTACTCTTGGTCCTGGTGGTCCAGGCAGTCCCTAGAAAATCAGAGATACCAGATATTAGGTGCATCATCCTTTCAAATGATACATTCGCAATAGAACACTACAGGCACAGTTTTTATACACTTACAGGTGGCCCTGGCTGGCCCTGAGGTCCCTGAGGGCCCTGGAAGAAACACAGACAAAATACAACAGTTACAGACGAATGTCTCTCCTCCTTTGTTTGTTTTTAAAAATCACAAAATGCCACTGTGAACAATGAAGTGAAGATGTTTGTGACACAGGTGTTGGTAAAGCTGCAGATCGTTAGTTGCTATTCTTTAAAGTGCCACCTTCTGTTAACGTGAGAATGTTCCTATGAGAAGCGTTGGGTGGGCTGCATACCAAAACTCATTTATCCAACTATTTTTGATGTTAAGGGTACATCAGAAGCCATATACAAAGTATTAATACACAGTGTGCCAGCATTATATATGTGTTGCAGATAGGAATTACTATGTGGTATGAAAGGTCACAGAATTTATCGGTTGTTATAAAAAAACAACTCATCTCCCTGACCCCATGAATATCTGCTAAGTGTTTATTACCTCTTAGTACAGTGTCACCTTTCAGCCAGAACACATGATGTTCATTGTTGAGTGAGTGATATTGCAAGTTTATCACATATTATCTAAATTATGCCCTTGTTCCTGACCTTAAGGGACATCATTTTAGGGTGTAGGATGATGCGGTGGGGAGGAGAGGGAGGAGGAGAAGCTCTTCCCTAGCTTATAGCACCTACAACACACACAGTCTTAAATCTGAAGTAGAAAAGGAAACAGAGAGATTTCATGTCTTGGGGGTCAGACATGGACCCTCACAAAGACCATCTCCCCCTCTGCATTATTCTTCCTTTAAGTAACTACTCACATTAAGAAAAAAAGTATTATTAATATTTATTAATAGTCAGTGATACTTGCATCTTTTTTACATTATGTTCCTTAGTCTCTATATATTCAAAGCCTCTAGGAGCTGCTGTAACATAAACAATAGCAAGAATATTGAAAAGGAAAAGAATAGCCAGCAGCAGCTTAATACCAGCAAAAGAGGAGAAAGAGGAATAAAAGGCATAGGCCAGACCTGCATTACATATTAGCAAAACCTTTTAGCGTAACGGAGTTTAAGCCAAATGCTCTTTAGCCAAGTGCTTGTACCAATTTTTGAGCACAATAAACTGTTCCAGCAATAGCACTCTTATACCTGTACAGTTACCCTAGCACTAAGTCTTTGCCAGCAGAGAAGTAACAGTCATGCTAGTAAATGCTTTTAAACTGATCTAGTCAAAAGAAATATCAAGTTGAAAATCACTTAGCATAGTAACAAGAAGTATTCTTTCTATGAGATTTCACAACAAGATCTGTGTAAGCATCACTGCATGCTACAAGTACTGATCCTGGGCTATGCTTCAAGCCGCGATCATAGCACGGGCAGCTGAAAATGGTTCAGGACCTTACGTTGATTTGCATATATTTAAATAAAAAGGATGACAAAGCCAATAGAAGAGATTTAAGTCACTGAGGCTCCACATTTATCAATTCTTAAGAGTATACCAGCCACTTTTTTTTTTTTTTTTTTTTTTTTTTTTTAAATCTCTGGACATATTCAGAAGACAGAGCTCATGGCAGCCACCTGGGAACACATCAGACAAGGGTTATGATGACCTCCACAGCTGCACAGGTTAAGTGACCCTGCACATCACCTGCCCTGGCAATGTCAGAGGGCCCCAGGTGCTGAATTATGATGGATGTGAAAAGTGAGGGTCATCATTTAGTTCCTACCACCAGATTTATAGCAGCAAGGCTATGCTGAGGGACTATGAATGAGCTTTGAGGCTGAGATCCATGCTATGCATGCTCTGTGGATATGGATAGGGGACAATCACAACTGAAGCTATTTCCAGATGTTTAAAGATTTGGTCTTCCAATACTTAACTAAAAAAATACTAACAACATAAACTCTAGAGATTTTACATATTGTCAACTTTTCAGCTGATGCAGTCTCACCCTATTTATTTATGCTTTACCCACTTATACCTATACAAGGGACTTTAAGCCATCTTGTAAATAAACACTTACTGATACTTTATAAAAGTATTAATGATTAATGTTGGAAAACAGGAATTAAAGAATAAGTCATCTTAGCATAGAGAGTAACACAGAAATGCTGTGGGTTTTGTGGCAAGTACTTAGCATCCCTTTACCCTTTTGAGCGTGATCATTGCCAAGCTTGAAATTTTCTTTGAAATGATATTATTATTAAACAAGCATAAAATATTGTTATTAATTAGTACAAAACTGATGACAGATAAATTTGCAGAGATGACATCCACATGACTGTTTTGGAATAGAACCTCAGCTGATGCAGATCAGCTGGGTTTCACAGAGCTATACTATCAGGTGACAGCTGAGAAGGTTAACATCCACATTTAATTAATTAATCAGATCAGTAGCTTAAGTATTGTTAGACTGCTGCAGGGTACCTTCAACCCCATGGGTATATGTTGCCAGACTCTATGATCATGCTTAGTGAAATATGTTTGGTACAAAATGAATGAGAAAGTGTATAAAAAACTTGAGAAGCAGATTTGACAGTGTAAAACATACTTGTTTATCTTTTTACAAGACTTGACTATGCAATTACCAAGCCAGGGCAAGGCACAAAGTTTTCAACGGTTTGTCCCTAAGTAACCACTGCTCTCTGATGAACAGAAGTCTTTGTTCTGGATGCTAAGATTTAGAAATTTCAGTAGCTTTTTCAGATGACTGAACGCTTCAGTTAGTAATTCTATAGTCTTGGCATGTCACAATTTTAAGACTCCAGAAGTCTTGGGAGTAGGACAGTTCAAGCTTATAGTGGTTTCTGATATAGAATTGGATTTTTTTTAAAGATCAAAAGTACACTGTTGCAATGATTTTAAGCTATTTTACAATGGAGGAATTTGATTTTTTCTTGATTCACCGTCATCTCGCCAGTAAAAGCCATGTGGAAAAAGGTAAATACTGAATAATATTTGTTATCTGCAGTAAACTTCCTTAGGGCATATTACATTTCCTAAATGCATTAAAACGTCAACGGTGTATATCAGTTACCTTTATAAGCCTTTAAAATATAACAAAACTGCACAGGGTATGTTGAAAATCCTGTAGACGTGTTAGAAATGTTCTTTCTTTCTGTTACAGAGCTGCAGAATAACGTTAAATTACACATTTCATGCATTAATTGCAGAATGTTCCAGTGGAATGTACAGGATTACCTTTACAAATCTACTTAAATTCTAATATGATCAAAGGATAAATTAAGTGAGAAAAGTGTAATTCCAGTTCATAATAACAAAAGTAAAGAATAATTAGTTTTAGTTTGCTCTTTAATTTTTTAATCACTTCATTTGATTGCTAGTACAGAAGTTCAAAGGCCAAAACTCCAGCCTTTTCTAATACTGTATGACCCTGATTTCGCATGCAATTATACATATTCTTAACTTCAAATACATGAGCAATTCCATGGATAGCACTACTCATATGTTTAGCTTTAAACATGTGCATACTAATTTTCAGCATTAAGACTGTAGCATGTTGGCCAGATTTCATAATTCAAATTACACTGAAGGAGACTTGTGAGAGCTCAGGTGGTATAAAAACCATAGGGCACGTTTTACATTATCCTCTGACTTCCATCAGCTTTCTGCCAATGTAATATCACTGACTTCAGCAGAATTTTTCTTGATTTAGTCTCCTGGGGACAGAGGAATGGATTTCTAAATTATTCCTGTTTAACATATTATTTCACATTTTACTGAAGATACAAATAGCACATTTGATCAATCTGCTTAAGATAACCATGTAGAAACTTGTTTGATGTAAAAATATTACAGGTATTGAGAAAATGAATGCTGTGGAAGTTTCTAAGGGGGAAAGAATCCTGTGTTAAAACTAATGAGACTGTCACTACTGTCCTAGCCCAGCATCTACACAACTTCCCGCTGTTGTGTGAGGAGTATCATATGCCTGCCAGTTTGCCTGGTTGCTGTTATCCCACCTGAAGTTAGATCAAAGGCAACTAAGTAAAGGAAAGCAAGCTGGAATCACAAAACAGCAGGGTCTTATGATCTTACCACAGACCAATTTGGATATTATTAACAACCGCCCCCCCGCCGCTAGTCTTGTGCCTGCTAGCTGGCTCTTCCCAGGCTGAATGTAAGAAGAGTAAGAATACAATGCAGCATGGAAGCTGCTGGACTAAGGAGAAACGGGGGATTGAGCAGGTTTTCAGCAAACTGTCTGAAACAAATCAAGAGAGCCAAAGCCAAAATCACATTCCTGCTGGCTTCCCAGAGCACAGAGACAGGCTCACAGAGTTGGAAGTGTGTAGGAATAAGGCAAGAGTATTGTCACATCAGGGCAAGAGCCTAAAATTCCTGGTGGAATATGTATAACTGTAATTGGAATAATATCTAATGCTTTCTTTTAAAGTGCCACTTAGATCAGACCCTATAATGGGTTCAATGAGGACTGCTATGTTCAAACCAGTTATCCGGACAGAGTGGCTCTTGCCCAGGGGCACCCTCAGACAGGCATTATACGAACACTGGCCTCAGAAAGGGCACCTCAAAATGTTAGGCTTTCCCTGACCATTGTTGTCATTTTGATGTTATTTCACCATATCGAGGAACGAGTAAAGCATAATAAGGCACAGTATTATGACATATTCATGTTATGCCTTAAGGTATAATATTAGACGTTATTTTTTTAAAGTATAGTAATATAATAGTCTGGTATGCAACACAAACAGTGTAGTATCTGCCATTAATTTCAAATCTAAGATAAAAGATCATACTCCTTCTTCATACATAGAGCTGGTCAGCAGCTGAGGAGTAGAAGTAAAATTTGTATCTTCAACTTATGGGATCTTCTGCCGAAGCTGCTGGGCCTGGCCTTAGCAAAGAGATAGGCTAAGGGAGGAATCACATGGTAATGTCTTCTGTCACCTGAACTTCAGTGTTGCGCACTACAGACTGCTTTCCCTTGTCTTCTGGATCACTTCAGCGGAGAAAAATACGGAAAGGCTTGAGTAGAGGTTAACTTTTGCAGCCCTAGACGTTCATCTGGGAACCTTTAGGGCAAACACTGGGTGGAAAACACATTGGTTTGGAAAATCTCCTTGTGTCTGAGAGAGAAAGAGGCAAGATAAGACAAGAGAAGCCAGCAGAGATGACAGGAAGGGAAGGGAACTGCCTTAGCCACAGAAACGTGCCCGTTGCCCTCCCCCCCCCCCAAAAAAAAAAAAAAAACCTGATGAAAGGGAGAAGTACCCATGACAGTCTAAAAACTGTAAGTTAAACGGTAGCAGTAAAACTGCTACAGAAAAGTTAAAATCTTGGAGCTTCTCGGAAGAATGCTAATATCAATTCTAATAGAATAAATTCAAAGCTTGGAATACAAAGTTGGATGAAAATCATTTTCTCTCCTCTATATCCGAAAATAGTTAGAAATAAACCCTTTCCTTGACTAATGCTGCTGTGTATCATTTAAAATTAAACATACTTCTGAAGATAGTCTTAGGAGAGGAACCCACAATTCAGGAAATGAGTTGCTAAGTGCCAGCACCAGTTGTGGAAACTCTTGCTTCTTGTTCACCATTCTAGATCTTTTTTTAAAACCGTCTGAGCATTTTTAGCTCTGTGCCGACATAGTAGGTCTTATGAACTGGAAGAACAGACATGAGAAACAGGTAACTAAGATGGTTAACGGCAGTATGAATTAAAAGCCTGGTACTCCTCCTGCTCTGAAATAGGAACTGCCCTGAGAGCATCAGAATGAAAGCAGAACATTTCCTGAGACATGTACAGCAAACTTAGTTCTGAGCCTTAATTCTTACAGCAATTTTCAACATTTCTAATTTTTAAAATCTTTTATAAGGCAATTAGGTCAGAACTGGCAGTCTTTGTATGCAGGCAGACTCTAAAGCCAAAACACAATAAGATAGGAGAAACTAAATGTTTTTAAGTGGGGTGAGATGAAAGGCAGAGTAACAGGCACAAGATCATGTTGGCCAGTTACTAGAAAAACGGATTTTTACAAAACTGCCATACAAAGTAGTGTCACAAGACTAAAATGACAGCTGATACCTATTTGGAGTAAATACGATATATTGACACTGGCGTTTCACGCAGTCAATGTTAATGGGAGGCTTTAGTAGCTCTTGCACATTTTTAAAATAATTCATTTATTAATATAACAAAATTAATGCAATATTCTTACAGAAAAATGAAAGACAGCAATCTGTCAGTACTGCCTACTGCTACTACAGCTGGTGTACATTGTATGGACACCCCTCCTCAGCCCTAGGCTTCTCCCAAGCATCTCCCTCCCTAGACAGAATCATGCAGATTCGTGAGCATGGCCCTTTACGTATGCTATGCAGTGACATGGCATGCTCAAATATTGATAAGAAATGTGACAAAGGATTTTGCTGGTTTAGATCTGAAGCGGAACACATTTGAAGCATGTGATTCCTATATGACCAGGGGCTGTATTCCCAGGCAGCACATAGCCGCCAGGGTACCTACAGGAGTCGACTTGCCCAGAAAAAGGTCAGGCTTTTGACTCATGGTCCCAGCTTTCCTGGCTGGTACCTTCCAGGAGCACAACTGGACTGTCTGGTAGACTGCATTCAGAGGACTCAAAAGTACATTCGGAGTAACATGAAAAATACTTTTTTACACAACCTAAAAATGAAAGCACAGAAGTTGCTGCAACTTACAATTTCACCCTTTGAGCCCTTTTCACCCCTGGGTCCCTGTAAGAAAGAGAAACTGTTAATCCAACATGCTTTCTAGCCTTCTAGGAGTGAAATTAATACATGCAAGGATTATACTGCTTACAGGAATACTCCAGTCTTAGTTCATCTGTATTTACAGCTCTGGGGCTCTAATTTTGCTGCATTATTAGAAAAATAAATTACTTGAAAATGTCTTGTAATTACTATATTTAGAAAGCTGGTTTTCTTCAGATTGTAGGTACGGTTTTGCTCAGTAATGTTAATTGCTAGTGTTTTCCAGTCAAACAGCTCTACTCTCTTCTATTTGATCCACTGTAATAGGAGATCAGTGCTTCACCATCTGAAGAGCTGAGAACCAAACTTGGTGCTCTCTGTCACCGAAAATCTATTGGTTACGCATCCGTTTTTACTACTCTGTTAGTAACCCCATCTCTCACAGCCAGATTACTCTGTCTCTGTGACATTTATGGCTAGCCTTGCACTCGCACTGTGTTTCCAAAGATGCTAACAATTTTACAATTAGCCTAGGGTGGGAAGAATTCTGCATCTTGATGGTAGCTTTTCATGTCACAGAGAAATAATCTTCAGTTATAATGCTTTCTTAATGATAACGGCAAACTATTTGCTTCAGAGTAAAATCTATTAAAAGTCTTCATTCAGGAACATAGCTGTAAAGAAACGAGAGCTTAGTTTTCCTCTTAAGTGGGAGTGAAAAGAATGCAGCAAGACTTACCGTGTTGTCTTTCTTTAATAACTGGAAAGAATGCTCTAATTATAGAAGGAGCTTTTCCCTGCCCCTTTCTTTTTCACTTCTCCTGTACACAGGTAAGTATTCATATTTATTATTTTTACTGTATATCCATGTTATTTTGATAATTGTGATTTAGATTTTTTAGATATTCTTATTCACTCCAAGTCTTGTCAATCAGGCAGAGGAACTCCAACGGTAGAAAGAGTTTCTAAAAATCTCTTACATGGCTGGGAGAGGTACTCTGGGCTCAGGGACTGCAGACAGAGCCAGAGGGTGTCCTTGCAGAACGCTCCTCTGTCTCCAGCACAGAAAGTGTGACAAGTGATGGAAACAAGGACTAGGGCTGAGTATCCCTACTAAAGGGAACCTAGGGAGCACTGAGGGCCAGAAAGGACAAGAAGATGTTTAAGTTATAAGATGGACCTCACCAGCACCTGGAGCTCCTCAGTGAGGGACTATGGGCTCACTCAATACACATGTCTTAAGGGATACTCAGGAAAGTTTAGGCCAATTAAAGGTATGGCACCAACACATGAAAGATAAAGTACATTGAAACCGAGCATAGGTGGTCTCAATAAATGTCTAAGCCTTAAGGCTGAGTCAGAACACCCAGGTGGTAGTCACCATGTGCTAGTTTACACCCTGACTTGCCCACTGGCTACTCTAGATAGGCCCTCTGTATACAGTATTTAGGGAGAAGGTCATTGCAATCACTTTTTTCATCTTGTCGGTACTACCAATGACAGAGTTGCATATGTTAGCTCACCAGCATGGTATAATATGGAGATAATCCTGCTAGCTGCTGTTTGCAAATGGAAAAATAAGAAGGATGCAAAACTAGTTGCAAAACTGATGAATAAAAATAAAAGTATGGGTTAAATAACCAAATGATACAAAAGGAAAGGGAAACTTACAGGCCTGCCAGTTGGGCCTGTTATGCCTTCTTGACCAACAGGGCCAATGTATCCCTGTAAACAAACAAATTTATTAGTCCCTCCATGTTTTCAAACATGGAAAATCCTCAGGACATGCCCTGGTTTAAAGTTACTCAGCTCATACACCTGGCACACATGCAAAAGATCATGGCAAAGTCTTCTTTCTGAATATTGAGTGCACATTGATATACAATCAACAAAATTATTTTAACAATTAGTAATTATTTACGCTTGGAAAGCCCCCCTCCCCCGTTCTTCTATGTGAGAGTTGATGCGCTAAAAAAGTGCACTCTGTTTGCCAAAGTTCACATATTTATTGAGCTACAGTCAATTATATCTTGAGCAATATTATTATGCACAAGTATTCCTTTAAGGCTGCCAATAAATACTGCTCAGATTGTTACTTTATTGTTTCATTTCCTTTAGAGCAAACTGCTCATTTCCAGTGTTTATCTTGTACAGGGACGTTTCAGAAGAGAAAACTATCAGAACAGACCACTAAAGCTGCTTGCACTGCCTCTGGTTAATTGAGCCACGATCTCATGGCATGTATCACAAGTGCTGCGACGTCAATGGCAGCAGCGAGGGAAGTGCATCATGCAGTAAGACCTTCTGTGCTGCAACCTTTCCCTCTATTTTTTCACTTGACATTGTAAGCTGAATGCACATTCCCCAGTAGTAAAAAATGCTAAAAGTGCCTTATTTTTGGTGAGTAGTAAAGGAGAACAAGAAAAGTTTTCAGCGCTCATGAAAAATTAGCTGATGCATGCTAGTAAATTCATAGATAAAAAGGAAGTGTTTATTAAAAAAAAAAAAAAACAAACCCAAACCTACCTATTAATTAATAATGCCTGGCCACTACTTTCTCTTACTGCAAGCAAAGTCTGACCCTTTTTTGTTTTGCTGCAGGACAGAGTTATATAATCAGCAATGTCAGTCAGAGGAAAGAGAAGGTTCTAACCTGATGGACAAATATAGAACAGCAATAAAGACACTTGTGTGGATGAAATTATACTGGAAGAGCCACACTTTATCAGCAGAGCTTGCTTTGTTCCTTCAAGGCTGAAAGCTGAGCTCTGCTCGTGTATCTGTGTCCATGCTGTACCCACATCTACTGTACTGGTATCACAGTACTGGTACTGGCCAAGGGCTCCTAGTGAAGGTCTAGTGTTAGAGAGAGGCTTTCAGCTAAAGGCTTCTGGCCCTGAGAATAGGAAAAATAGGATTCCCTAAATGAAAAGGAATATGCCACCTGCAAACCATCCTAAGAACCTCTTTCATGGAGCAAAAGACTTACGACTTGGCCTGTTGGACCTTTTGGGCCCAGAATTCCAATGAAGCCGATGTCCCCTGCAGGACCCTGAAAATGCACGGAAACAGTTTAGTCAAACATGAACACTAACTATTGACTTGGTTTTAATCTCTTGTAACCAATGGAAGTAAGACTTTTCAAGAGCAGTAATAGTGAAAATATCAAGCTCACTGACCCAGAACTTTAGTCTTTGGACATGCAGTATGAAACTCTGCCTGCAATGTTCCAGTAGTTCAGATAGTTCTTGAACAAATTATTGTCAAAGCCAATTAAATCTGTGCTTTCCTAATTATTCCACTCTGTAAATGGCTTCAAATCTAATAGGAAAAAATGAACACATACTTTTGGACCTGGGAATCCTTGAAATCCCATCAAACCTTGATCTCCATGTTCTCCCTGTAACAGGAGCAGGCATCCTCATTATTATGTTGGTAACTCTTGGACTAGTTTTGCATCAATAGGTGTGATTACATACAGGCTGTCCTTTCAGTCCAGTGTCTCCTGCTGGCCCTTGGTCACCTTGTGATCCTGGAGGGCCTCTTTTGCCTCGTTTTCCTGGGTGACCCTGAAGCCCTTTCTCACCCTGTGGATATGAAGATAATATACCCTTTATTATCATATGACAGTTATAGAAGTAAAGATAGGAAGAAGTATGCTATCTCACTATTTCAAGAAACAGACCTGCTCTGCTCATTTTATTTCCTTCAGGAATGCTTTCGATAATTATGTCTTTCACTAAAACACAAACGTGACCTGACTATTCCTTGACTTGGACCAAAAAATAAGCATATATGCGCATTTCCAATATGATCTCTCCCAGTGCAAGTACTAAAATGCACAAAATGAAACAGAAGAGGCAGCTTCAAAGTAAATGAAGAAAAGTAATCCTTCAAACAAGGTATAATAAAGTTGTGGAACTCCTTGCGGCTGCTTATTGGTAACACTAAAAGTTTACATGGATTCAAGTGGAAACTAGACAAGTTCACGCAAGAGAAGTCCACTGAGGACTATTAAATGCATACCAAGACTATTAAGTACATAGAAACCATATCTAGCTCAGGAGGTTAAAGAGCTGCAAGAAATTACAGCTGGGAATATACACCATCATGCTCACTTTGCTCTTATGCCCTTTCCGAGGTGTTTGTGCTCAGCTCTAACAAAGACAGACTTTTGGACTGACCCAGTATGTCCACTCTAAATGCTTATTTTGCACAATATGGTACCTTTTCCTCTTAGTTTATCTGTTCCCTGTCTTTTTCAGATTGCAAGCTTTCTGAGCTGGAACTACCTCCTACAGTACGTTGTCTAGACAAAAGGGTGTAATCCAGACTGGGAGCACTGGCAAAAAAAAACATTACGAATAGTGAATACAGTTTATACTGAAGTATTTTCATGGAAATATAACAAAGAGAGATGGTATTTTCTTCTCCCAGTTTTCAAGTAATTTAAAGACTTTTTTAAAAAGTCTTTAAAGACTTTACCAATAAAATCATATGTAGCATTGTAAATCATTGTTTTAAATTAAGAGTTCTACTCCAAATGCTGAAAATTATTTGTAAGGTTCTCATTCTTTGCTTCTTTTACTACTGAAATGCATCTACTTAATATTATCAATAGACTCTGAGGATATGCTGATGTTGGTACCTGGAACTGCCTGGAAAATGGAGCAATCTCAGATTTATTTCTTTCTTACAGGGCCAAACAAGAAAAATTTCAGTCCTATGATAAAAGAACATCCCAAATATAGTTGCTAGCCCCAAAACTTGGGACTTATACTTGAAAAAGTACAGCACTTCATCACCAATTAATAGCTTAGATGTTCAAATCATCCAGACCATTTGCTAGCAGGCCTATTGTCTCAGTCATGGAACTTTAAAAAGAAAAGATAGGAAACATTTGGCCCTAAAACTTTGATGAATAAATACATAGTGTTTTGAACAGCTGCTAGAGGTGGAAGCAGCACCTGGACAGATAGATGGGAAATCTGCTTTCTATTTATAGTTTATAGAAACAAGCTCAGCACAATCTGCAGTCTTATCTATCAGATACGTTTTGATATCAGTCCTCATGTGATTAACAACAGCATGGTGGTCTCACAATCACTTCATGCAGTATGAAGTCTAAGCAGTTCAGTAATACTGTACTTATACAAGATCCCACTGATGTACCTTTAGTCCTGGTGTTCCCATGGCCCCTGGCATGCCTGGTAATCCCTTAGGACCTCGAGCACCAGGATAACCTGCCAGACCGGTTAATCCTTGGTTTCCTTTATTACCCTTAACACATCCAAAATAATTGATTACAGTCAGAACAGCATAACATGTTTTTTCATTGCATGGTAAAACAGGCAAACAACATAAAATCAGACAATGCTGCTTGATGCTTTCCGCATACATGGGCGCATATTGATAGTACATCAAAATATACATAAACACAATGATCAGCAGTATCATCTAGATTTCTGCTAATATTCCAAAAGCAAAAACCACTTACAGCTAGTAACATAGCTACATGTGCTATGACTGTGGGGTGCAGTGACAGCTTTTAAGGAATCAAGTTATTGTAGCTTAACAAGTCACTGACTGTCAGCAAAGCCAAGGCTAACCAAGCCTTAGCCCATGCTTTAGCCCACCACAAATGTTCAGTTCAGTGTTCTTCTAAAACCTTACTCTGTCCTACTCTAACTATAGTGATATCAACTCTGTGAAATCACTTGCCCTGACCCGCAAAGGGGAAAACATCCAAGAGAACTCGCTGCCTCTTTGGGCTCATGCAGGGCATCTCCCCTACCAGCACCCTCCTAAACAGGAGCAGCTGCCCAGCTACTGGTACCAGTGATGCAGAAATAGTGAGCAGTCTTCTGTCGACAGCAATTGTGCATTCAGGTATACCTGGAAGCGTATACCTGAACTGCTTTTACCAGTAACTGCTTTTACTTTCCATCAGGATAATGGGAATCATACAAAATAGTTTACATGAGACCTCAAACTTCTCCCACACCTGAAAATTTGCATGTTCAGATCAATATCCTTTAGTACTGAACCCTGTTTAACTCTTTTCTAACTCTATTTTGAAATATGCAGGAATAAAGCATTAATCTATGATAAGTATAGAAAATGACTCCCGGAGATCTTTCTTGGGTGAGAGGCATGTGATCTTTGCAAATCTGTGTTGTTTTCCTTTTAGTTATAAATCTGAAGATTCTGAGCTTACAATAAGGAGCTCACTCTGCTGAAAACAAGATGCTAAATTAATTCACTGCAGATGGGCTGAAAATACTGTTCAGATTCAAAGAATCCATTTCTCAAGAAGGAGGTACTCCACATTAAAAAATCAAAACGACAGTACCTCCTTTCAGAAACATTCAAAATTCAACATGCCTATTTATAAATACCAGACATGCTAATAATATTAGTATGACTGTGTATGCTCTGAAGGGATTCATAAAAAGTAACTTGACCACATCAAGAAAGATCAGAACGTTTGTTATGAAAATGTATCATAACATCAGACATAAACAAAGAGTGAACATTTTTACTGAAAAAACATGTTACTGAGTGCATGGAGCTAAGCCAACTGCCCTGTTAAAAATACAAAAATGGAACCGTGCTGCTATCCATAAAGAGTGTTTCTGTGTTGTCATTTAGTAGAAATAATGGAATACATATATACATACATACATATAAAACATGGTATATAGTGTGTGTGTATATATATATTCTTCTTTTCATATGCTAGTCCCTTAAGTGTTCATGGAAACAAAAGTTATATGAAATGTGATTTTTATATTAAATGTTATTTCCAGGGCTTTTGAATATGGTACTGTCACTTACAGCCTGATGGACTGATAAGCTTATGTAGCCAATGTTCTGTTCTTTTTTTCCATTGTGGGAAAATCACTTAAAAGTCTCTGCATTACAAATTACAATGCTACTACCTATTGCTAATAAAGAGTAATATAGAGCAATGGAGTAATTATTAAAAGAGAAGAAAGATGACGTTTTGAATGACAAGGCTAAAATGTAAACGTTCTTTAGAGTGATAGTCCTAAATCAAGCTTCAAAGGACTTTACATACCTGAATGAAGTTCAGTAAGACATGATCTGAACTTTAGTGGCTCAAATAAGGCGCACCTGCCCCCTACGGGCAACTCCTTTAATTTTGTCTTCGTTCAATCAGATATGCAAATCTACACATGTAACAGTGCCTCCTTCAGCACTTTGATTAATTCCTCCCATCAAATTTAACTTGACATATAAAAATTATTGGTCCATCTAACTAAAACCACTGAGAAATAATATAGATGAAATCCATGCCATCAGATTTCTGATAATGAAAATTACTAAAGGAATTTTCTCCCTTCTCTCTGGAGTGAATGAGTGCAAAGCTATCTCACCATCCCCAAATGATGAAGCAGGTAGGTAGCTACCCTTTGCTCACGGCAAATTACAGATGAAAACTCTGGTACCAGGAACGCTCCCAGCTCCTCTGCACTACTCCAGACACCTCATACTCTCATTCACTGTTTTTGGATGAAGCTTTGTAATTGCCTAGGTACATGGATACAGGCTACAAATTCAAAGACAAAAAGGAACATGTGGGACGATCTCAGAACCTGACCTATAGAGAAGTGACAGGATCAACTGGGGTCTATGGCTCATGTTTGGGAACAGAATTGCGAAGTCTTCTCAGCAGGATAACATTTTTGTTCTGCTGTAGTTGTTACTAGTGATAGATGCTAATAAAACAGTTCTCCTGATAGCACTCTTCCTTTATATTAACTTTGCCTCCTAGCCAGAATATCAGGAGCAAAAGAGAAAGAAAACAAAGGCTTGGTCTAATTTTCCAGATGCTGAAGGAACTGAGAACAGCCCCTTCTGTTTAAACATTCTAACCTTAGAAAATGTGTAATGCATAAGGATATAAAGAGGGACAATGTGGAAGGCAACTTACCTTACGGCCAGGCTTCCCTGGCAGGCCAGG